GAACATAGAACATAGAACATAGAACATAGAACATAGAACATAGAACAGTACAGCACAATACAGGCCTTTCGGCCCACGATGTTGTGCCGAACTTTTACCCTAAACCTAAGGTCTATCTAACCTGCACCCTACCTTATACTATCATCCATATGCCTACCTAATAGCCGTTTAAATGCCCCTAATGAGGCCGATTCCGCTACCCTCTCCGGCAATGCATTCTACGCCCCTATCACTCTCTGAGTAAAGAACCTACTTCTGATGTCTCCCCTATACCTACCTCCACTCACTTTAAAACTATGCCCCCTTGTAATAGCTACCTCCACCCGAGGAAAAAGTCTCTGGCTGTCCACTCCATCTATACCTCTGATCATTTTGTACACCTCTATCAAGTCACCTCTCATCCTTCGTCATTCTAAAGAGAAAAGCCCTAGATCTCTCAACCTTTCCTCGTAAGACCTTCCCTCCATTCCAGGCAACATCCTAGTAAATCTCCTCTGCACTTTTTTCAATGCTTCCACATCTTTCCTGTAATGAGGCAACCAGAACTGGACACAATACTCCAGATGAGGCCGAACCAGGCTTTTGTATAGCTGGAGCATAACTTCACGGCTCTTGATCCGAATCCCTCTTTTAATGAAAGCTAACACACCATACGCCTTCTTAACAACTCTATTCACCTGGGTGGCAGCTTTCAGGGAACTGTGGACGTGAACCCTAAGATCCCTCTGCTCCTTCACACTGCCAAGATTCTTTCCGTTAACCCTGTATTCTGCTTTCAAGTTTGTCTTTCCAAAACGAATCACCTCACACTTTTCAGGGTTAAACTCCATCTGCCACTTCTCAGCCCAGCTCTGCATCCTATCAATGTCCCTTTGTACCCTAGAAGAGCCCTCAGCACTATCCACAACTCGACAAACTTTGTATCATCTGTGAACTTACTAATCCACCCTTCCACTCCTACATCCAAATCATTTACAAAAATCACAAATAGAAGAGGACCCAGAACAGATCCTTGTGGTATACCACTCGTAACTGAGCACCATGTTGAATATTTTCCGTCCACTACCACCCTTTGTCTTCTAAGAGTCAGCCAATTCTGAATCCAATCGGTCACATTTCCCCTTATCCAATGCCTCCTTACTTTCTGCATGGATAACCTTATCAAACACCTTACTTAAATCCATGTATACCACATCCACTGCTCTACCTTCATCCACGTGTTTGGTCACCTCTTCAAAGAATTCAAGAAGGTTTGTGAGGCATGATCTACCCCTCACAAATCCATGCTGACTATCACGAATCAAACTGTGCTTATCCAAGTGATCATAAATCCTGTCTCTCAGAGCCTTTTCCAATAATTTGCCCACCACTGAAGTAAGACTAACTGGCCTGTAATTTCCGGGGTTATCCCTATTCCCTTTTTTGAACAAGGGAATGACGTTTGCCACTTTCCAATCTTCTGGCACTATACCCGTGAACAGTGAGGACAAAAAGATCATCGCCAAAGGCCCTGCGATCTCTTCTCTTGCTTTCCATAGAATCTTTGGATAAATCCCATCAGGCCCGGGGGACTTATCTATCTTCAACTTCCTGAAAAGTCCTGGTACATCTTCTTTACTAACATTGACCTCCTCTAGCCGACCAGCCTGTTTCACACTGTGCTCCCCTACAACTAGGTCCCTCTCAGTTGTGAATACCAAAGAAAAGTATTCATTAAGGACCTCTCCTATCTCTTTAGGCTCCATGCACAAATTTCCTTTACAATCCTTGATCGGCCCTACCCTCACTCTGGTCATTCTCTTATTCCTCACGTACGTGTAAAAAGCCTTGGAGTTTTCCTTGATCCTATCTGCCAAGATTTTCTCATGCCCCCTTATAGCTCTCCTAAGCATTTTCTTCAGCTCCTTCCTGGCTAACTTGTATCCCTCTAGAGCCTTTTCCAATCCTTGTTTCCTAAACCTTATATCAGCATCCTTCTTCTTCTTAAATAGTCGTTCGACCTCTCTCAAGAACCAAGGCTCCCTGACTTGACCGCATCTTCCCTGCCTGCTAGGAACAAACATATCGAACACACGCAGTATGCATTCCTTAAACAATCTCCACATTTCTATAGTGCCCGTCCCTGACAGCATCTGTTCCCATTTTATGTTACCCAGTTCTCGCCTAACAGAATTATAATTATCCTTCCCCCAGTTATAAACCTTACCCTGCTGTATGTATCTATCCTTTTCCATGACTATTGTAAAAGTAACTGCGTTACGATTGCTACCATCAAATTTCTCTCCTACCAACAGGTCTAACACTTGGCCCGGTTCATTGTCAAACACCAAATCCAAAGTGGATTTGGTGAATAACATTTAAGTAATTCTATAGCAGGCACACCACTCACCCCACCCTGATCGATTACTTCCCAACTCAACCATCAACAAATTACCCCACACTGCACCTTCCCTTCAAACAGACACCACTACCCTTCAACAGCCTGGCAATGTTCCTGGCCCAAATACTTCAACTGCCAGATACAACTACCCTTCAAAAGTCTGACTACAGTCTTGAATCAACCTAACAATCCTCCATCCTCCCACAACCTAGCAGCTTCATCCCCCACTCCCCACCTCTCACGTCCTAACCCAGTGATCCCCTCCCTCGTTTCTCAGGTTGGGCAACTATGACCAGTGGGTATAGCCTATCACTGTTTGGGTCTGAACTGTAAACTATCTATATCAATGATTTGATACAATTGACAGTTCTGAGGAAGGGTCACCGGAACCAAAAGATTAATGCTGATTTCTTTCCACAAATGCTGCTAGGCTTGCTGAGCTTTTCCAGCAATTTCTGTTTTTGTTTCTGATTTACTGCATTAGCAGTTCTTTTGGTTTTTATGTCAATGATTTAGCTGTGGGGATCACATGTATTTCCAACCTTGCTGATTACAAAAAGCTAAATAGGTATATGAGTTGTGGAGAGGATGCAAAGAGATTTTAAAGATGGCTGAGAGAAAGGGTAGCAACATGGCAGAAATAATATAATGTGGAAAAATGTGAAGTTATCCGCTTTGGTAGGAAAAACATAAAATCAAACTATTTCTTTAATAGTGAGGAATTGAGGTATTGATGTCCAAATTGTCCATGTTGATCAGTTGGTGAAAGCTAAAATACATTGCAGCAAGCGACTAAGAAATATGCTGGCCTTTATTGCTAGAGTACAGGAGTAAAGATGTCTCGTTGCAATTTTATACAGTCTTGGTGAATCCAAGCTTGGAGAATTGTGCACAGTTCTAAATCCTTTATTCAAGAAAGGTTACATTTGCTGTGGCAGAAGTGTAATGAAGATTCCTAGGGTGACAGGATTGCACTATGAGGAGAGACATTCTCTGGAGTTGTGAAAAATGAGGGATAATCTTCTTGAAGCGATCGTTTCTACAGAATGGGCCAAATGGTCTACTCCAGCTCCTGTCTGTCACGTTCCACTTATCCACCCTGACCCAACATAACTACCTCAGATGTGTCCTCATTAACCATCCAACTAAACCAGCTTATCATCTAACATGACCCTACTCCATTCATTTGACTCCTGAACCTTCTTGAAATAAGTAACTTTATTCAGCTAACAAACTCTCCACCTTTAGTGGAAGTGAATGAATAGTATCCACATTACTGTTAAGGATAATAATATCTCATCAACACATTGATGCCAAACCTACAGTTGTCCAAATTATGGTCACACTAGACTTTAAAACAGATTTGTATGGCATTGCAGAGCAAACAGTCAGCAATTACTTCCAAACCTTGACTAGATTAACACCTGAAATGTCAAATTGAAAATCCCTCGATTTACAGATCAATGTTGGAATTTTTTTATGTCCAGAAGGGCTGTCACACACAACCAGTTTTTCCACAACCAAATCACCACCTATTAATCACCATCATTAAATCACCTGTGTTTCCAATTGTTCAATTTACATGCAATAAACATTGGAATTTTCCTTACTCAAGTAAACGCATGCCATCTGTAGCACCCAGACTGATGTTGGTTTCCTGGAATTCCTTTGGTGGGATATACTTTAGCATTTTGTCTAAGCACGGCCTGAGTGACTGGCCAGCCTTTGCTGGGTCGTTAGCAAAGCTGGAAATCCCCTCTGTGAACATGTAAAATAACATGTGAACAGTATAGCATAATGTTGTAAATCCCCTCTGTGAACACAGTAACAATATTACAAATCCCCTCTGTGAATATAGCAATATAATGTTATTAATCCCCTTTGTGAACACATTCAACATAATGCTTCAGATCCCCTCCAAGAATGCAGTAAATATCATTACATTTCTCCTCTGTGAATGCAGTCCGATAACATTGCAATCAGCCTCTGCAAACGCAATAATGTAAAGTTACAGATCCCCTCTGTGAGTACAGTAAACAACATTACAATTTCTCCCCTGTGAATACAATAATGCATTGTTAAAGATCCGCTCTGTGAACAACAGCAGCACAACAATACAAATCCCCTCTGTGGACACCATAACGTTTCAAATCCCTTTTGTGAACATAATGTAATATTCACATAATGAACATAATGTGCTGCTCCCCCTGTAAGCACAGTAACGTAATATCACAGTAATGTACTGTTACAGATCCCCTCTGTGATCATGGTAATAGTATGTTACAAATCCCTTCTGTGAACACATTAACATAATATTATAAATCCAGTCAGTGAACACTCTAACATAATGTTACAGATCCCCTCTGTGAGCACAGTAATGTTACATTATAAATCCCCTCTGTGAACACAGTAACATGTTACAATTCCCCTCTGTGAATGTGACAATGGAATGTTCCTCTGTGAATACAGTAGCATAACATTAGAAGTGACATTTGCAGTACAAGTCATCAGCACAAAGGGACCGGGCCCAGATGCAAAATTGCTAGACATAGTACTGAATTCCATTGGGGAAGCATAATAGTTATCTTTCCACCTGCAAAACTGGCAACGCGTTTCCAGTGAATTATATATCCTCCCATGGAGGTCAGGACTCTGCAGCTAAACATGTACCAGACACCATCATAGAATCATACAGTACAGAAGAGGCCATTTGGCCCATCAAATCGTACCACCAAGAATACTGCCTACACTAGTCCCAATTTTCTGCACTAGTCCTATAGCCTTAATTTTATGACATTTTGAATGTTTGTCCAAATATTTTTTAGGGTTGTGAGGTTTCCTGCCTCAACTAACCTCCCAGGCAGTGCATTCCAGACCCCCACCATCTTCTGGGGAATAAAGTTTTTCCTTAAATCCCCTCTAAACCTCCTGGTTTTCACCTTAAACTTACACCCAGGTTTGACAAAGGGAAAAAGCTGCTTTCTATTCAACTAAACAGCCTTCTATCAGCCCCCTCCATCTCCTGTCACTTAGCCAATTTTCAATCCAACTTGCCGAGTTGCCTTGGATCCCCTGTGCTTTTACCTTCTTTGTCAGGCTCCTATGTGCGACTTTGTCAAAGGCCTTGCTGAAATCCATATTAACTATATCAACTGCACTACCCTCATCCAAACACTTGATCGCCTCATAGTCATAGAGTCCTACAGCACGAGACAGGCCCTTCGGCCCAAACTGGTCCATGCCAACCAAAATGTCCATCCATACTAACCACATTTCCCTGCACTTGTCCCATATCCTTCTAAACCTTTCCTATCCATGTATTCATCCAAATGCCTTTTAAATGTTGTTGATGTACCCGCCTCGACCACTTCTGCTAGCAGCTCATTCCATATGTGTACCACCCTCTGTGTAAAAAAGTTGCCCCCCAGGTTCCCATGTATTCTTTCCCCTCTTACCTTAAACTGACGCCCTCTAGTCCTTGATTCCCCAACCCTGGGAAAAAGACTGAGTGCATTCATCCTATCCATGCCTCTTATGATCTTATACACTTCTATAAGATCCCCTTTTAGTCTCCTACACTCAAAAGATAAAGTCCTAGCTTATCCAACTTCTCCCTATTACTTAGTCCCTTGAGTCCTGGCAACGTCCTTGTAAATTTCTTCTGCACTTTTTCCAGTTTAGTAACATCCTTCCTTTAGAAAGGTGACCAAAACTGAACACAATACTCCAAGTGCGGCCTCACTAACATCCTGTACAACTGCAGCATAACTTCTCAAATTCTATACTCAACGCCATGACTGATGAAGGCCAGTGTGCCAAAAGCCTTCTTCACTGCCCTGTCTACATGAGACTCTACTTACAGAGAACCGTACACCTGAATTCCAAGGTCCCTTCTTCCACTACACTCCTTAAGGCCCTACCATGAAACTCCTACCTTGATTTGACTTTCCAAAATGCAACACCTCACACTTATCTGTATTAAACTCCATTTGCCATTTCTTGGCCCACTTCCCCAGCTGATCAAGATCCTGCTGCAATTTCTGACAACCTTCCTCACTGTCCATGGTATCGCCTATTTCAGTGACTTACTTACTTACTGCAAACTTACTTAACATGCTTGTAGAACATAGAACATAGAACATTACAGCACAGTACAGGCCCTTCGGCCCTCGATGTTGCGCCGACCTGTGAAACCAATCTGAAGCCCATCTAACCTAAACTATTCCATTATCATCCATATGTTTATCCAATGACCATTTAAATGCCCTTAAAGTTGGTGAGTCTACTACTTTTGCAGGCAGGGCATTCCACGCCCTTACTACTCCCTGAGTAAAGAACCTACCTCTGACATTTGTCCTATATCTATCACCCCTCAATTTAAAGCTATATCCCCTCGTGCCAGCCACCAACATCCGAGGAAAAAGGCTCCCACTGTCCACCCTATCTAATCCTCTGATCATCTTGTATGTCTCTATTAAGTCACCTCTTAACCTTCTTCTCGCTAACGAAAACAGCCTCAAGTCCCTCAGCCTTTTCTCATAAGACCTTCCCTCCATACCAGGCAACATCCCAGTAAATCTCCTCTGCACCCTTTCCAATGCTTCCACATCCTTCCTATAATGCGGTGACCAGAACTGTACGCAATACTCCAAGTGCAGCCGCATCAAAGTTTTGTACAACTGCAACATGACCTCATGGCTCCGAAACTCAATCCCTCTACCAATAAAACCTAACACACCGTACGCCATCTTAACAACCCTATCAACCTGGGTGGCAACTTTCAGTGATCTATGCACATGGACACCGAGATCTCTCTGCTCATCCACACTACCAAGAATCTTACCATTAGCCCAGTACTCTGTATTCCTGTTACTCCTTCCAAAGTGAATCACCTCACACTTTTCCGCATTAAACTCCATTTGCCACCTCTCAGCCCAGCTCTGCAGCTTATCTATGTCCCTCTGTAACCTGCAACATCCTTCTGCACTATCCATAACTCCACCGACTTTGGTGTCATCCGCAAATTTACTAACCCATCCTTCTATGCCCTCATCCAGGTCATTTATAAAAATGACAAACAGCAGTGGCCCCAAAACAGATCCTTGAGGTACACCACTAGTAACTGAACTCCAGGATGAACATTTCCCATCAACCACCACCCTCTGTCTTCTTTCAGCGAGCCAATTTCTGATCCAAACCGCTAAATCACCCTCAATCCCATGCCTCCGTATTTTCTGCAATAGCCTACAGTGGGGAACCTTATCAAACGCTTTACTGAAATCCATATACACCACATC